TAGCCTCTCGTCATCTTCTCGAAATAGCAAGGTATTTGTGGCAAGTCTTTTCACAATAGCGATTATCATCGTTAATACACGTCTCCAATGTTCTTTTTCTGCATCATCACCAATTGAACGCTTTTATCAATTGTAGTTTTCGTTTGAATCCATTTTCCAATTCAATCCAACTAGTCGTGCAACGTGAATGTTCTTCATTCCCTTCATGATTTTTAATAAACTGATGCAAATTATGCCAATCTTTGAATCCATCATTACCCAGTTTGCAAACTTTGGTGACATTTTTTGGTGTTTTAAACAACTTGCAATAAAGCAGAAGATCATGTCCGTAGATACTGAATATACTAGCCATCATTTATCAATTGTTTGCCCATTTGATAGTAATCGCTTTTATTGTGAAGAATCAAAATGTCTCTTTGCACAATCTTTGGAAAACACGATGCCATCAACTCTTTTTGGACCTATTTCAACTAAATATATTGAATATATTGTAAATGTTTGAAACTTTGTCGACTTATATAATTATGGCCTGATGGGCTTATATGAATGATTATTGTAGCCTATAGAATCAATTGCACAAGCGCATGTAGTAACTGTATTGCAAAGTTTAATTGTGAGATGATTGAGATATTTTGTAATNCTTATATGAATGATTATTGTAGCCTATAGAATCAGTTGCACAAGCGCATGTAGTAACTGTATTGCAAAGTTTAATTGTGAGATGATTGAGATATATTGTAATTGTCTTTTAGCCTAATCATTTGGGCATTAGATAGACTCATAGATCATACCTCCTAAATATGAGTCTGGAGCTCTAAAGAGAAAAATGAAACGAAATGAAATTTTGTTGACTTAAAGTCAAACAGGCGATATAGACAAATACTTTAAAAGCAACAATGTGAATGAGTTGAATGGGGATGACGTAGTGATTCTAACTGCATGTGTTAATGAAGTAGATGATAAGGACGAAGAAGTGATGAAATCTGCATGTGTTCATGAATTAGATGATAAGAAGGAATGATGAAACATGTCCGTGTTAATGAAGTGAATGATAAAGAAGAAGAGGGTTGCTTTTCTTTGAATTTGGATGATTCTGGGAATTGAAAAAACGTTGATCAAAGAACGAGGGATTATTTAGTTGAAATGGGTCCAAAAAGAGTTGATGGCATCGTATTTCCCAAAGATTGTGCAAAGAGAAATTTCGATTTTTCATAATACAAGCGATTACTACCAAATGGGCAAACGATTGATAAAAAATGGCTAGTATATTCAGTATCTACAGACATGATCTTCTGCTTTTGATGCAAGTTGTTTAAAACACCAAAAAATGTCACCAAAGTTGGCCAAGTGGGTAATGATGGATTCAAGGATTGGCATAATTTGCATTGGTTTATTAAAAGTCGTGAAGGGAATGAAGAACATTCACGTTGCACGACTAGTTGGATTGAATTGAAAATTGGATTCAAACGAAAAACTACAATTGATAAAAGCGTTCAATTGGTGATAGATGTAGAAAGTAAACATTGGAGACGTGTATTCACGAGGATAATCGCTATTGTAAAAAGACTTGCCAAAAACACCTTGCCATTTCGAGAAGATGACGAGAGGCTA